TTCCCCTATCGGATACGTTCAAGAAAAATCGGTTTTGCAGTTAATATCAAGTCGCGAAAGAAATTGTCAAAGTCCCTGTTGTGTTTACATACATTCCCTTATAAGAGCCTTAATTTCACTGATTAAGGATGGTGGGTACAGTTGTCAGCGCGCACTTTCACTGCGCACATTACGTAGTCCACAGGAACACCAATGTTTACAAAAATAAAAACAACAAAACGAAATAAATGCGTGATCATTGTTGTCATCATTTTTTTAATAGTATTTTTTTCATGGGTTTCTGTGTCTGTATTAGCACTGTGAAAATGAAAGTGAAAGTTGTGAAAAGGAGAAAACGACGACTAGATGGTAGATTTGTCAGTACCGGTGAACTAGACGAAAAAGATCAAGCGGCAGAGAAACTTGAAAACAAACAAAAAATATTAATTGAAGAAAAGCGAATTGATGGAGCAGTTAAAAAGTGGGTGTAGTGAATGTAAAGAGGCACTTAAACTTCATGAATTGATCGACGAAAAAAAGTTTGGACTTGGTAGTTTGTTTTACATTTAATGCAAATGCGGAGTTTTAAACTGAAATTTCACTTACTATAAACCACTTAGTTATTCTCAGTTATCCCTACAATGTTTTCCTATTGCATTCTCTAGAACAATTTAGTGACCGTATTCTTCCAGTAGTTCTTGCAGTAGTCCGCCATGTTTACCATCCCAAAATGCAATGCTCAACCACGTCTCTCTGGGGAGGGGTGGAGGAAATTTGTAACCATTGCTGGAAAAAAGCTTGAAATCTGATATTCAAAAATTATAACTCCAAAAAATGCATGACGACCCTTGTTTTTTATTTGATTGGTATGTTTTGTAAACACTTAAGATAATTTTGAATGTGCTATTTCAAAAATAAAAATAGTTTTGGGTGGTTTCTTTTTAACTCGTGGATACGCGAAGCGTAGAAACGAGTTATTGTGAGGRGTCTGAATATGCAAATGTATCACTCACTCGCTCAGTAAGATGTTAGCAGATCGATAATTATTAATATCAAAAGAATCAAGGAAAGATGCAAGTTGAAGTAAAATAATACGATTAACGCCTAAACTAAAATTCCAAAACCTTTTTTTGCTGATGTGTTAAAGTAAACAGAAACGCTTATGTACAATCGTCAACATGTCAACGTAAGTAGAGCCGGATGCATCAATAAAGCACTCGGCCGGACTTTTATATTAATAACAAAATCCAGAATTTGTTTTTCAGAAGAATTAGGAAATAGAAGTCCGTCGAAGTCGTCTTTCGTAATTGAAGTAACTTTCAGACAATCAATTCATCACAGAATTCGCTCCCAAACGCAACAAAATAGGTGTTAAAAGGAAAATAAAAGGACGACTAATCATCTTACCAGCTAAATTAAGTATTTAAAATATGAAATCGAGCGAAATACTTTGAACCCTCCGAATGTCAACAAGCATAAGGACACAGGGAGCCCAATCTCTGGAAAGTGCAACTAGAAGGGCGGTTTGATTTGATTTTGTGTTTTTGTCCAAAATTGAAATTTCACCTACTTTTGCGCAAAAGCAGATAAAAAATGTACTTTCACCTTTGCAACTTCAAATCTTTTTATTAATATGAAAAATATTTATGTTTAAAATTATTTTAGACAAAATGTTGACTGTACTTAAGCAAAACACAAGAGAGATGCGATTTTTTGAAGTGCTTTAAAATGCGCTCACGTCATCGGGTCTTTAATGACAATTATATCGCTTGGATGCGTGGGGACCCCCACATTTTTTCACGTTTTTAGATAGCCCCTTCGGTACTCTAAATAACTGACACAGTTTCATTTAAATAAAAATGGGTCGCGAACTGAACCCACCATCCTTAACTGAGACAAACATTTAAAGTATTATGAATCATCAAATGTTAGATGTACTTGTATTCTTTGTAATAAAAAATATAAATAAATAAATAAATAAAAAGAAATGGTTTGAAAAAATATAATATAAATTACCAATGTACTATACGACTGGAGTGCTTAATTGTTGATCATAGGAGATTAAATCCTGTGCTTCTTCAAGAAGAGTATCTGCTTTTTCTTTCAGCAACATCTGTTGAAAAACAAATTTCATTTCCTACTCTTGCTAACAGATTACATAAAAAGAATTAGATGGGAATAGGAGACAAGGTATCACTGGCCCAGGACAAACATAAGCATTGGACCTCTTCCCCGCATGATGACTTCAGCCAAGTTTTGGCCAACTTTTACTGAAGGTAAAAGAAAAAAATGAAAGATTTCTGTAACCAAAAATATGTTGAATAAGCAGTGAAGTTCCTTCCTGAGCCTGAGGCGAATAATTGTTTTAGCATATACCAACTTGTGTACAGAGTAACTTATATTTATATACAATAATTCAATAAAAACAAACAAACAGAAACTTTTAGTCTGTGTGACAAATTCACGCAAAACTTTTAGCAAAACTTTTAGCAAAACTTTTAGGCCATACTTCTTTGCCTTTTTAGTATTGATAGGAATGGCATTTACTTTCATTTTTTCAATTTCCTTATCATACATACTGCGGTTTGCATAAACTTTGACCATTTGTGCATATATACGAGTATATCAAAAGTATATCAGAAATTATGGGATATGATCCCTGATATTTTTTTCGAGTTGTCCATAACTAGGGCTTTGTGGAAAAAATATCAGGGATGACATCCCATAATTTCATGTTTTTTAGTCTTGCTGTAAATCGCTGGCTTGTTGACTTGTCTTTGTTGACCAAAGTTTATTACAAATGTTCTAGAGCGTATTACAATTGGGTCGAGTTATTACATTTGTGCCCTCTACAAACCTCTATGTTCCTCATGTTTATTTGTAGTCGTTTTTAGAGTTATTGCAATAGCATGTAACTCTATGTAATGGAAATTTTTTTTTTCCATTTTGAATAACCATAAGGTGGCTCCTTGAGCGAATGGGATGCTTTAACCACAGTATATTTGTGTTTTCCCGAGAAGTTATGGGGAAAACTGCAAAAAAATGCTTTTGTTGTTTGGCTTTAAATTTACCTTGGCAGCTGATACGATCTCTCTAGCTTGTTTCTTGTAGAGATGTTCAATTTCTTTAACTAGCTTGTCAGGGTTGGAGCGAGCTATATCGCCCATTGAACGATAGCCTGCTTTGAAGAGTTGACGAGCACGTGCCTAAGAATGAAGTAATAAAGAGAATAGAATTCAAAGTAACAAAAGTGACGATACCAATACCCCAAAATAACAATAACGATAACAACTATTTCACCATCATCATCCAGTAATTAAGTATGTTTCAGAAACAGATTTTAAAAGTTGTAATTTACTTTTAGGTAAAAAAAGCACACAGGACAACCACTAAAAGACAGCAAGAAATGTTGAAACAATAAAAACTACAATAAAAAATAGACTATACGTCACTGTTTTTTTTTTGTTTTTTTGTCATAGTTCGCCGATTAAAAGTTGGCCTTTTCATGTTAAGGGTTAAAGATTATATAGACTTACAAAAACAAACAAATAAATTCAGGCATAATTATCGACAGGCAAAACAAACCTGTTTAACTCCCGGTATTTCCATAAGTGGAGCCAGCTCAAGATTAACAGTGCAGGAGAGCCTCTTCATGATGTTCTCTAAAAGAATATTGATTGCCCAAAATTCACTTAGTTCCTAAAAAAAAAAGGTTAAACGTTTTCATTAGCACACAAGAAATCATACCGTTAGCCGTCGTGATTTTTTGGAGAAATTTTTGAACAATTGAAACGCAGGCTTTCGTCAAAAAAATATTGCAGTATTATTGTTATAAAAATCGTGCATTTCGGCTGGGGGTCAGAACACGAAATCCTGCAATAATTCGCAGACCGTCTTAACGAGAGTTAAATTCGGTCTGCGCGCAGGCTGATTAAACGTTGACCAGTTAAAAACTCGTCCGGTACCGTGTAAACGCAGCCTTTGTCTTGATTGTGCGTTATAATAGCAGCTATTAAACCACTCTAATATTGTTCCGTAGTACGTACATCCTTACAATGGATCTTAATAAAAGAAAATAATTTGTACACATTCGAGGACTGAGTAAAGGCACTACTCGAAATGGGAGTATTGTCTAATTCTGAAACAAACAGATCAGGCTTAGTTATGTTCTGTTCCCTAATAACACGACTTGAGATGTAGGACAAGGAACATGGCTATAGAAGTCAAGAGCCATCGGCGAGTAATTTCTATAACTTTTTAAGTGTTCTACAGCTTCATTGGTTTATATATATTTATGTTTATTCACTAACTCCTCAGTATAAATGCCATGTTTAAATGTAATTACTCTATAAGGCAAGGGAAGGTAAGACCATTGATTTTTCTAGCTTTGCAACAGAAGAGATGAATTTGCTAAACTGACAATGTTGGGGACATGGGCTGCTTGTAATGGTGCATAGTGGGTTTGGTTTATCAGCTGTTTGCAAACACACCTTAGTAAAATGTATCAAGCAAATCACAAAAGACGTAGCTGATGTTAAGAGATTCTGAACGAATCCTCTTGACACCTTGAACAAATCAGCAACATTCCATATTGAAGCACCTTGTACCAGATGGTATAGCATTAAAGTCATATAAAAACGTCTGATAGAATCCTCACTTATAACCTGTAAAAAAATATAAAATAAATAAATAGATAACATTTGCGGGAGATGGACTCCAAAAATGAAGGATCAGTATTGTGGAAGCACGCTAAAGAGAAACATCAGGGAACTATACCAAACTACACGTGCAATGTAACAGAATTGTTTCAGAGAGATGCTCTACTCAGACAAGTAAGCGAAGCGGTGAAGATCAACAGAGAAAGACCTAAAATGAACACTAACAACGAATGGAACTTTATCAACATTCGTGTTTGTTCGCGTGATTGTAATTTTCCTACCGGATTATAATACAGTGGACTGAAGAGGTTGAATTAAACGAAACTAGTTTCCACTGAATATTTATTTGTCGTTTTGGCGTACGTAGAAAAGATTACTAGTTAAGGTTTTATACCTAATGAAAACAACTTACTATGATTACTAAATCTTTCGAAGTCTCGGCTAAAACAGTTTCAGAAATATATTGATTACCTTTTCGAGTTTTTGTCCATACGCTTTACCCAAAAGGTAAAGTTCTGAAATTCCGATTGTACTGACAACTTTTTTTTCCTTGTCGTTAAAGAGCGCCACCTGTGCAATACAATACAATACTGAGCTCGAAAATCACGTAGATAAAATAAATCGTCGAAAGCAATTAAGATGAATAAGTTACCTGTTTTTGATAGACCATCCAATCTAGATCAGATGGTATAGTTAGGTCTATGGGTGTCGCAAGATAAAGAAGATGCAGCTCATTGACTAACACCAAGCATTCTAAAGCCATCTCTATATTTTGATAGATCAATTGGGTGTTATCAACATCCAAGCACCCTGTAAGAAATAGTAAACTAGTTAATCCGGTGGCCATTTAACACAAGGGTTGACAATTTTATCATGAAGGCAACAAGAAGACAAGACTTGGCAAAACCAAAGCTCAAATTGAAGTTTATATTTTAAGTTTTAGAAGAATAGTTAAGAGTCAATGTCTGTAACGGTCGAAAATCCTCGGACAGTTGAAAAAAATCGAAATTTATCTTATTTTGCCTAAATACTTTTTGGGATCCGGAAGGGCTTGGGCACCCAGTTTCGAAAAGGAAAATGTACGGCTTCAAATTTTAATTTATACAGACCATTATTTTTTTTTCTAGAAAAGAAACATTCTTTCTCTTGAATTTAGTGTAAAAATATTTTTTCTAATACTCGTTTTAAATAAACTACGGAATTTTGAATAGACCCTACTTTGACATTTCCGAAAATTCATAATTTTTCTTCATTTTTAATATCCAAAGACCAAGAGCCCATGGAACTTGTTCATTTGAAATTTTGCAAAATGCTCCTCAAGGTGACAAAGAATGCTAGTAACCTTACATGCAGAGCTGAGTTAGGAAGGTTTCCGCTAAAATGCAAAGCATGCAGTAGAAGCTTTAAATTCTGGCATAAAATTATAAAGTCGGAACTACACCCAAAAAAACTTTCAGCCGAAGTCTACCATCGTTGTTATTTATATCGCAAGGGTTTTTGATTCATTTGGTTGCACCCCAAGGATAATGTCATGCGTTATCAACTACAACAAAAGTCATCGCTCCAAATTACGCTATCAATCATGAGCTTTAGAAGATTCATACAAAATTAGAGTTGAAAACTAAGTTACAACCTGGCTCGTCCCCAGTCGTCTCTTATTTTAAGAGCGCGCGCTAAGGGGAGGGGGGGGGGGAGAGACGTCGTCTCTTCCTCTTCCTTTCCCTTGACCCTTTGCTCGCGCTCTTAAAATAAGAGACAAGTGCTGGGGACGATTCTGGGTTACAACAATATCCACAGTTTTCTATATTTCGGGTGTCTTGTTGGATATGTCGGGGGAAAAACTGTTAAAAACAATTTCCAGGGCACCCCTGGTTCTTTACTAGAAGAAATGTACCATGAATAGGGAGACAGATGAACGAATAACCTACCTTTATAACTTGCATGGCCTAGCTTAGTTACATCAATATTGACATCTCCAGATTTTCTAGAGATCCCCTTGACGAGACCAAGTGCTACGAGATCTTTAATTGCGTTCATTGTACATTCCTGCGCGAAAGACTTATCTTCTGTTTGAATGGCCAACAGCGTATCGTTAATTGCTGAAATCAGTTGGGTTTGGGTGAAGCAGAGCTGTTGACAAAAATTCATCGTTTGTAAGTATATCGAGAAGTTAGCCATATACTTCATGCATACTTCATTTAGATCTAAAATCGCATAAAATTGGTTTTCAGCACCATGTCTAAGGGCTTGTTCACACTGGGGAGATCTGAGATCAATCCAAGCCAAATGCGGCTAACAAGAAACAATAAGCTGTTTATAGTTAACCACCTAACGCAAAAATTAAACAAGAGCAGGCAAAACTCGAAAAGCCAATTCACATCTGCTCCATAAAACTAAGAGCGGGTAATAAAATAGCACTGAATACAACTGACGTTCAGTATAAATCTGGACCAAGCCAAACTTACTAGTAATAATGAAATAAATAAGCCAGCTTTTACACTACAATACGAAATCTATTGCGTAACCTGTAATGACTGGAGCGAAGACTAATACACGTGGCTGCAACACGACTAGTTTTTAGCTAGTTATCTCGTCTTAGTAGAAGTAACGAGTAAAAAGACCAGGCTAAACTTCGACTACTAGAGAGCTATAAACCGCAAAAGTGAGGCAAATTGGAGAGCAAAACACGAAATAACTCAATTATACAGAACTAATCGGTCCAAACTGCACTGCTGAAATGTCGTAGCCTTCGAAGCGAACCACAAGTCGAAAATAGCATCTTAGACAGCTCTAACTAACTTGTTCGCTTTGCAGAAACATAAACGAGCAATATGGACTACAAAGCATTGAAAACACTTGCACGCTGATGATGAGCTTATGAGAGACCCCAAACTCAATAACCTAAACACAAAGCCAGAAGAACACCGCGAGACACTGTTAAGACATAGACACTTGGTGTTCAGAGGGCTTTTGAGTGGGTGATTGGTAGTGATGTTGGGAATAGAAGTAATGGTTAGTGATAGGTAATGACGGGTAGTGATGGCGAGTGATTGGTAGTGACGGGTAGTGACAGTAAAAAAATGTCGAAAATACCCAATGTTCACGGCCTCCGTATGAACCCTAAATACAATAACCCAAACTGATTTTTGGATATGTTCTAGAAGAACATCGAAATAGTTCATGACGTGAGTTTCATTGAGAAAAAAAGTGCCGCACTTGATTAATTTTTTTTTTTTTTTTGGCGTAGCAAGGGTCAAATCTATGAGTGAATACCACTCAATTCTAAATATCATCTGACCGCTTTCAATAAATAGCTAAAACCGTTATTTTATACCCAATCAAGTCTCAAACATCTCTTCTGTATGCGTTAGTTGTTTTAGGACCTGTTTGATTCAACTGAAAATTTGCATACTTTTGAGATCGCAGCTGGGCCAACAGTTTTTCTCGGATTTCTCAGAATTTTAGCGGTTTTTTGAAAAACTAACTACACCACGTTTGTTTACTCGGTAATACCTTCCAGCAAACCAAAAATGAGCAAAATCGAAATTTTGACTGTGACCGCGGATTCTCGATTTTGCTCGATATTAGTGGACATCTGCTCTTAATGAATTTCCAGTTTCGCCTTTTACACCAATATTAAAGCATACCTTTAATCCCAGCAAACTGAGGACCAAAATACGCACTCCTTTGCCATCTTGGTAGAGCAAACTGCTTTTACAGCTGTCATACGGGCCGCTGAACAAGTTTCTAACCTGAACAGTAGACGTATTCTTTAGAATTGATTGAATTAATAACATTGGCATGTATACAATTTGTCAAAGCTGTATCAAAAACTGATGAGTATATATTCAAAGATAGAGAATCTAGGGGCTCTTCAGAGATTTGAGAAGGTGTTTGAGTGCAACAAGATGGTGGAGACCGAATAAGTTTAGCTCTTTAGGTATAGGTATGGATAAAACGTTCAAAAAACGTAAATTATCCGATGACTAGAGCAAAATATTTCATTGATACGTGGACGCCGAGATAGTCTCCCTCGCATCCGTTTTTAGTGTCGGTCGTCACAAAACGCTCCCTCCCCACAAGGGAGACTATGGGGAGGGAGCGTTGCGTGACGACTGACACTAAAAACGGATGCGAGGGAGACTAACGCCGAGAGTACTGTAATTCAAATAATGTAAGCTTCAATATGTTACTACTTGCCTTGACTGGTAAGTATAAATCATCTTCGATCTGTATTAATGCTAGATCAACCTAAATGTTTTCTGAACACTTTCACGAGTTTCTAAAGGAATTTGATCCTAAATCATATCTTGTAATCCACGATTCTGATAGTAAAATAACCTTCCACTGCAGTACTACAAATGCAGATATACTGCCGTATCTCTCTTTAATGGCCTTTCTCGTATAAAAGAGACGAGATCACTTATAAATCTTCTACGACAACTTGAAAAAAAAAATGATTGTGAGACACTACGAAGCCATAATCTAGCGCATGCGCGGACAAATCGTATACATACTGGTAAAATATAAAACAAATAGAATTGATTAACAAAATAAAAAGAAAAGCAGCTCCATTCTTAGTCTCTCCCACAGCCGCTATCAGTGTCGTCACGCAACGCTTTCTACTCAGGGGAGAAAGCGTTGCGTGACGACACTGAAAGCGGCTGTGGGGGAGACTACTCCATTGTTTGATTGAACGTAAAGCCATTGTTATTACAATGCGCCGCGCAATGTATCGAGGATAAAGGTGGGTCTTTAGCTTGAGTGTTATAAAAAATAAAAATAAATTAGGTCATTTGTTATAGCGCTATTATCACATTTCAGGCCACGTTTTCCTTATTTACCGGTAGAGCTTAAAATTAAGAATGAAACTCCAAGGAAATAATCTTATTCTATAGAGGAGTACACGTGATCTGAAATGGACAAGCGTTATCCCAAACTAAAGATATAAGTCGATAAGAAGCTCGTAACCTTTGCCTTGTCGCTTTCCTTTATTATCAAAATACTCTCGCCAGATGTATCAATTCCTGCTCTTCCTGCTCGACCAATCATCTGCTTGTACTGACTACGACTAATGATGTGTTTTCCAATGTATGGTGCTCGGAGAATTACTCTGATGAAAAAAAAGTGAAAGGAATACAATACACAACGATCATAAAACACCCAAATTACGATAGCCCACACTCAAAAAAAAAACAACAGTGATCTAACTTACAACATATTACGTCATAGACCATATTTCTGGGCCGAGTCTCTGTAAAAGATGGAATTTTTATTTTTTCATGTGCTAAAATCTTCAGCCATTTTTTTGTTGGTGCTATAATCTTGTTAGTCTCCCTCGCATCCGTTTTTAGTGTCGGTCGTCACGCAACGCTCCCTCCCCATAGTCTCCCTTGTGGGGAGGGAGCGTTGCGTGACGACTGACACTAAAAACGGATGCGAGGGAGACTATAATCTTGTACAATGTTTGAATCTTTCCATGGTCGGGCATATCCAAACTATTCTATCTAATCCTAGTTCTAGTTCTCGCTTTATTTATTTAGGTTAAACACATTACAATCAAACATTGATAAAAACTTGTGGACTTGAACGTAAGGCAGGGTCGCAAAGCCCTTGTTGCCTCCTCTGTGGTCTATGTAGGTATAAATGGTCAAGCATTTATATTCTCGTTTATTCGAAGACCTCATCATCTAGGCTAGAAATCTTTGTTTACATATTTCAGTAAATCAATATTTCTAGTTCAATATTTCTAGTCTTTACGCGTAATTACAGTAGTCAACCAAAAACAGCATGCGCAGGCAGTAATTTACGTCACGTGATCGTTAGCTCCGCCCTCTCTTAATCACTTGGCAACATAGTGACATTGATTGACAGTTGGCACGTGCTAATTGATCGGACTGTAGACCAGAACCCTTTAAGAGAAGACCGCAAAGGTCCCTTGAGTCTTTTGAAAGTCTGTTGGGTATTATAGCGCAACATGTCCGTTTTGTAGGAAAGGAATTGTTCGAGTAATCCAGTACACCGCTCGAAATTTTGATTTTCATTGCTCCCTAAGTAGATTACCGCGCTTTTGTAAGGTTAGGTTTTGTGCTATTGTTTGGATGACCAATCTATTGTTTTTTAATCCAATCATGTAACTCGTTCCGAGCGGTACGGGCTGGCTCCCCCTGTATATTTTAAACTATATTTGCAAAGCATTACCACCTGTCTAAAATCAAATTCTGACGACGAAAATGGGTTCTTGAAAATTACAAGTAATTTTTATCGAAACAGTGGCGAAATACACTAATTTTTTAAAAAACACGTATGTCAGTTCTTAATTTCTTACGTAAGCGAAATATTCTCTGGGTTGTATTTGGCATATATGTTTCGATTGTAATGTAAATTAACACATCAGAATAACATTTTGCTATTTCTAGGAATACTTTTTGGCCTTAGATCTATTTCCTATATTTTGAATCAAAATGTTTGAAATAAGTATATCTTACCTTTTGGCTGGAAGGTTAACTCCTGCGGCCAAAGTCGAAGTACAAGTCAGTACGCAAAGAACTCCTTTACTGTAAGAGTATTCTATCAACTTTCTTTCATCTACGGTCAGTCCACTATGGTGATATGCTATGCCGAATGGTATAGTTCGTTTAAGAACCGGACATACGCCATTAGCCTGGTTAAAGAGGGCTTGAAGAAGGCATTTCCTTTCTTCCCTTCTTATTTCACATAGACTCCTACATAAGTAAATAGAGAAAAAAAAATTAAAGAAATGTTTGCTGTTCATTTGTTTGCTCGTTTAAATAGCCAGTGGTTTTGTTTCATGAGGTTAAAATTTTAAAATTTATTAAGGTTTTCAGTTTTTTCATTCATTTTAGCTTTTTCAACCCATAGGTGTTAGGACAAACTTACCTTACCTATGGTACTAGGCACCGAGACTCCGCATTCCACCAGCTAAAACCGCCAAATACCAAGGAAGCTTTCGCATAAATGGAGAGTGCACTTTCAACCAACTTCCGTTCGATATAAGACATTGTTCCAATCTCGGAGAGGCCAAGCGCCATTTTAATTCGCTAGAAATAACTATGCGCATTGTCTTCTTTTGAGCTATTATTATATTGTATCGTAATGTAACTTGTAATTGATGGTGTGTATTTACTTTGTAATCATATTTATTTTATACAGAACTCTATTTATACTAGCCTGTGCTAAATTAGATGTTTCTGTAAAATATTGAATATAAATAAATAAATAAAATAAGCCTGAAGCGAGATGACGTTTTACCCCCGTCTCTAGACCAGAATCCTTTTCACATTGCTTTTGTTCTTTATTTGACTATTGTTCCTGTATTCTCTAAGGAATCAAAAATTTTAATATGAAAGAATTTTAAAAACTATTATGGTATAAAGTCGGGGGTAAAACGTCATCTCGCTTCAGGCTTATTAACATTCTTTCTTTTTTTTTTTTTTGCCTATAAACACAAACTCTATATTTTCAGTATTGGTTCTACGTGAAGTTTATAGTTGAATGCCATGCGCAAAATATTCGTATAATTTGAATGATACATCTTGGAGATTTTAAGATTTTTACCTTCTCTCCCCCCTCCCCCCGGGAATGCCCGAGGAGCCCAAAGGAAATAATTGCAGGGGAAGCTATTTCAACAAGATCGATTGTTTAGTTCTTTTGATTATAAGCTCGAAAGCACTGAGATAAAATATCACTTTTGAAAATGTTACTTACTTTGGTAAGAAATCCACCAAAAGTTTCGCGACATTTTCGCAATTGCGCTTGGTAGAGCAAAATACAAGACAGGAATGTTCAGGAATGACTTCGGTTACCAAGAGAACCAAATTATCTGGGTCTTTTACTTTCCTTGCATTGTTTACCTGATGATTGTGCGATATTCGAACGTTAATATTCAGAGATTAATAGCCTTCTTCATAAATATGTAGACAAGAAAATTCGTAAGCTAAATGCTATTTATTGAGTTTCTAACCTTGTCCGTTATATGTCGTACTGGATGAGTGCTTAGACCACTTTCGTTATTATTTACATAGTATACGGACTTTCCAATTTTTACGTACTCGTGCAACGTTACCTAGAAATAAAGTTATTAGTCGCTAAACGATTTAGTTTATACGACCCTTTCCATGGTTTGTCCTTCTTAACATGGCTGCGCGAAGCGTACCTAGAGTTTTATTGAAGGGCTCCCTCACGCTTGACCGCTACCTTCCACGTTTGGAACGCTGGTGCATAAACGTGTTTCATCCGATTGCAAATCTTTTTACTGGGATACCTGTCCCAGTCATAAAATGCGTTTGTTTTTTTTTCTTTTTTTCCTGTTTCCTGCGCCACAAATTCGACAAGTTGCGCAATAGTACCCGTGGCTCATTGCTCGATACCATGACAACGATCTGTCCAATCAGGTTGAAGTAGTGTTGTGTGAATGATTGAAACTCGTGATTGACAGGATCACCTGACAACCAACGGTCCAATCAGGGTAAATTAGTATTATGTAAGTGTCCGTGATTGACAGTTAGATGATCACCACGAGGTTTTTCTCTTCGTCAGGCGTCAGTTTTTGGGGCTCGTTATCGCTGAAACATGAAGTCTATTCGCTTTTTACTTGCATTTATTTGGAGTTTTATGCTATCAACGCTCCAAATACTTACAAATGCATACACTAAGATTACGATTCGCGAACAGTCCACACTAAAAGATGTTATTGAGCGATCATTTGGGATCAGATTGGTTCGCGAGGTTTTGAAAGCCAAGTATGCCTTGAAAGCCTTGTATGCCCTGAAAGCCTTGTATGCCCTGAAAGCCTTGTATGCCTTGAAAGCCTTGTATGCCCTGAAAGCCTTGTATGCCAGTGTGAAAGCCTTGTATGCCAGTGTGAAAGCCTTGTATGCCAGTGTGAAAGCCTTGTATGCCAATGTGAAAGCCTTGTATGCCTATGCCTTTGTTCAAAAAATGCCTTGTTCAACAAAGTAATCAATCCTTAAATATGCATTGCACATCTCCACCGAGATGTCTGTCGCCATTGACATTTTGCGGTGGACATGATAAGTTGCCATGGTCACGACCATCCCTCGTACCCTGGCACTCAATCCAAACTTATCACTACGATGGGTTTTAATACGCGGTGGACGTGATAAGCTGCCATGGTCACGACCATCCCTCGTACCCTGGCACTCAATCCAAACTTATCACTACGATGGGTTTTAATACGCGGTGGACGTGATAAGTTGCCATGGTCACGACCATCCCTCGTACCCTGCC